AGACCCGAGGCGCCGCGCGGCCCGGGCCCACCCTCCCTGGCGTCGGCTGAGTTCTCCTCTCTGGAGGGCCGGCCCCGGCTTCCAACAGCGCCTTTCCTTGTTTTCCGAGCGGGGTTCAGCACTTCCATGGCCGACCTTCAAAGTTGCAAGCTTGGCCTTTGACCTCAGCCTCCGGGGAGGCCCGGGTCCGAGGCAGGAGGGAAAATAACTCTCTGCGGATCGTCCCGGGCTGCTCCACACCAAGAAAAACACCTCCGCTTTGTCCGGAACCAGCCTGACCGTTTCTGACACCTTCCCAGTCACCCGGGGGACCTGTTTCTCTCGCTGTGCCTCTTTAACCATCTTAAGGCTCCTCGTTCGATTTCAGGATTTTTAAAGTATTTCCCTGCAACTCTTCACAAGATTAAAAATGTGCCTCTTTTCTCTCCCCAGGGGCAGCCGTCTGACAGATGTAAGTGTTGACTTGATTGTGGCCTCAGCCCCCCTGAAGCTCCAGTGTCCTCCTGGAGAGCACAGTGGTGAAGCTGGGCACTGGTCCAGTCTCCTGTCACCTGCGGGTCCTGTTCAGAGGGTGCCGAGTGAAAACATTAGGCCTGGTGGGAAGGGGCAACTCCAGACACGCACTGCTGTCCGTGCTGTCCAAGCTCTCGGTGTAACTTCCTTGGGTCAGCCCAAGCCTCAGGCCCCACTCCACCTCCACAGCGGGTAGAGACCGGCAGGGACATGCAACTGGAGTTTGTAAAAGTCTGTAAAGACTCAAACACACAGGGCCTGCTCAGCGCTGCCCTGCCCCACAGAACCGCTTTCAAGCCGTCCCCCCTTCCTAGATTTGTTGGTAAGAAGTGTCAGTCCTTACAGCTCAGAGGTTGCAAGAAGAGAGGCTCTGTTTTCAGCCTGGGGTACCTTGAGGTCCCATGATCTGATATCCTTTAAAAGTAACAAATGCTGTCTCTGTGGCTAGGGCATTTGATAGCAGTGACCTTGTCCTAGAGTCACATTCCCCTTCAGGGAGGGCAGCGACACACAGACAGCATGCCGGATTCCTTCTGAGAGCCTGGAAGTATGCTCCATAGGCCAAGATAGATTTCTCCCTTGCCCGGGACAAGCAACATTGGGACGCTGGTGCCAAGCGAGCTGGCCTGCCTTTCTTCCCTCCCCAGATTTCCATATGCCGGGAGATGCCCAGCCTGGAGGTGATTACACTCAGGTACCCCTCCCGCATCCCTCCAGACCCCCGGCCTTCCTGTGGGACCCACTGATGAGGGACAACACGGCAGCTCTCAGTGCAGCCTTGGCAGAGCAGCGGAGACCCCGGGGGCTTGGCCCTCCCACAGCCGCTGCCCCGCTCTCAGTCCTCCCCCGGGTTCCCCTGTCCTTCCTCTCAAGCTCACCCTGCCACATCCACCGCCCAGCCCCAGACACCCATCTGCCTCTCCACATCCTAAGATCAGTCACCAGTCAGCTCCCTGTTCCCGGTGGCCGGCAGACTAAGGGGAGCTTGTCACTGGAGTTCTGGGGAGCTGGGGCACATTTCGGGGAAGGTGCTCAGTCCTGGGAGGCTCGCGGCCCATGCTGATGGCCGGCCATGCCGACCCCAGGGCCACACTGGTCACCGGCCCTGCCGTCCCCACAGTGTCAACAGCGTCTCCACCTTGGAGCCCGTGAGTGGCTGCCGGCGTCTGAGCGAGCTGTACCTGAGGAGGAACCGCATCCCCAGCCTGGACGAGCTCTTCTACCTGAAGGGCCTGCCGCACCTGCGGGTGCTGTGGCTGGCTGAGAACCCCTGCTGCGGCGCCAGCCCCCACCTCTACCGCATGACGGTGCTGCGTAACCTCCCGCACCTGCAGAAGCTCGACAACCAAGGTACATCCGTGGCGCGGCGCGGCGCGGCCTGGCGGTGGGCTGCCACGGGGCCCCCGGGCTTCCCTTGGGCTCCTTCTGCAGCCTTCCGCAACCCCTGGCTGGAGGCACAGGTGTGGCCCGTCACACAGGGCACACAGAGGAGCAGCTCCCGGCGGGGTGACCCCGTTCCACAGTGCTGGCGTCGTCTGGCACTGGGACGTGGCCGTGCGGCCTGATTCAGCGCAGGATTCCCACCTGTGACCCTCACGGTTTACACACCACAGCGAGGACGGCCCACTCCTCCTCCGTCCCTTACAGGCCGGGCCCTGGCGCCTGCCGGCCAGAGCCACAAAAACACGCCCCCTAACAGTGGCCACCTGTTTTAGGCTAGGTGTCACCTGTGTCAGGACACCAGCTTAGCAAGGACAGGGCCCTGGGTGTCATCTCCAGAGTTACACGTGAAAAACCTTTGGTTTTGTCTTGACTGGGGTTTTTGCTCCCAGAGAAGCTGGAGCTGAGCTTCCCAGCACGGGGTGTGCCTGGAGCCAGTGCGAGGGGGCTGGGCAGGAAGAATGGCCCGCCCCTTGCCCTGCAAGCCTACAGTTTGGAAGGTGTGGAAGGTTGCGGGAGAGAGCAGCAGGGGTGCAGCCTGAGTCCCTGCTTTCTGTCTCCCACGCAGCCGTGACGGAGGAGGAGCTGACCCGCGCACTGCTGGAGGGAGACGAGATCAGCACTGCCCCAGGCAGGGAGGCCACAGACACAGGCCTCTCCGAGTCCTCCTACCCGCTGAGCACCTTCGGCCACACCGAGACCACCACGGGTCAGAGCCTGCTGAGCTGCGAGCAGGCAGGGTGAGCCTGCGAGTGGCCACACCTGTCCCCAGAGCCAGCCTGACCCCAGGGCTCTCTGCAGTCAGGCAGGGCTTCCTCGCCGTATGGGAGGGGATGGAGCCCGTCATTCTCTGGATGACCCCAGCCCCCTCCAGCAGGCCTCAGGGGCCAGGCTGCAGGAATACCTAAGTGTGCCTATGGGTGGGGATGGGATGTCAGCCTTGGCCGCCGTGGGGGCGTCCCAGGGGCCCGCAGCCAGTCATCATGAACGTTACTGACAGAAATGATGTCGGGAAGAACCGGTCCTGTAGAGGCCCCAGCACGTCTGCAGGGGCACTGGGATGTGAGGCCCTGTGCTCTGCTTGGGGTGTGAGCCCCTGTGCAATGCTTGGGGTGTGAGCTCCTGTGCTCTGCTTGGGGTGTGAGCCCCTGTGCAATGCTTGGGGTGTGAGCCCGTGCTCTGCGTGGGGTGTGAGCTCCTGTGCTCTGCTTGGGGTGTGAGCTCCTGTGCAATGCTTGGGGTCCTTGCTGTGCTAAGGCCCTCAGGCCCCCGCCTTGGGAGCCTACCTGCCCCAAGTCCCCAGATGAGGACTCATCAGCGGGTCTCAGTTGGGGTGCTCTGTGTCCAGATGCACCGGGGTGGCCTCCGTCCCCTGGCGTCGACAGTGACACCGCTGTGGCGGCATGACGTGTTCTCACTGGACTCTGAGCCACAGACACTGCCTGGCCCCTCACAGTCCCCCTCTCTCCAGGAGCACCCAGGGCCAGCTTGGCCTGAAGTCCCCTGCCCAGGACCAGTCTCCTTCCTTCCCACAGAGGGACACCTTGCGTGGCCACAAGAACAGGGTGAGTGGCCGCAGCTGCACAGAATGGCAGTGGCGGGCCCTGAACGGGAAGGAGAGGTGCTGGGGGCGGGGCCAGCTCGGGGCAGAGCCGCAGGGCCGCCCTGTTGCACTCTCAGAACTCTGGGTGGTCGCTTCAAGTCGCAGAGCACGCCTGCTGCTGTTGGTTAGAGGTCATGAGATCCTGGCATTGGTTAGAGGTCGTGAGGTCCTGGCTTGGCCGTGGCACGGGCACTGTAAGAGCTTAGGGCTCCCCACTGGGATTCCAGCCTCACAGACAGTAGCCACAGTCCCCCTGCCTGGTGCCCTTCCAGCTGGGGCCCCGTCCCCGCCTGCTCCACGCAGCATCCAGCGCTCACCCTGCACAGCATTCACAGGGGCCTGGGCTTCTTCCCTGGCCCGGTTGGGCTGCGCTCCCCCAAGGTCCCATCCACCATGTCCCAGGCCCTGCCCTGCCGGGAACCCTGCTCCTCAGCAGAGCCCGGACCTGCCAGAGCCACGCGGGACCCACCCCAGCCACGGCCTTGTGGGAGGCAGAGCTGCCTCAGCAGGGCCTGGCCCCCGGGGGAGGCCTCGGCCCTCAGCGCCAAAGGCCTGGCTGGACGGAGCAAGGCCCTCCGCACCTCAGCCCTCCGGAAGACCCAGGAGCCGTGCGCCAGGGCTCTTCCTCAGACCGCGAGGAGCGCAGGGCTGGCTGCTCAGACGGGCTCACTCGCTGTGGCACCGAGGCCTTGGTGAACAGCTGGGCAGGTGCAGCCTGGGGCCTGGTCTGCTGGGGTGCGGGTGGGGACAAGGTGCCAGCCCCACCACAGCGCCTGGGCTCAGCGCCACCACCCCTGACCGAGGGGCCAGTGACTCAGTTTCCCCCTGGGAAGCGAGGGCCCAGGCTGAGCACTGGGCAGGTCAAGACTAGATCTGTGCCGTGACCTCCCTCCCTGCGGACCCCCCCCCCCGACCCCCGGCCCAGGCCCTAGGCAGGCTCTCTACCCCCAGAATGTCCTCACGGCCATCCTGCTGCTGCTGCGGGAGCTGGACATCGAGGGGCTGGAGACCGTCCAGCAGACCGCGGGCAGCCGGCTGCAGGCCCTGCACAGACAAGAGCTGCAGGAGGACACAGAGTGACCACGGGCAGCCCCAGACCCCGCCAGGAGCCCGCCAGGCCCCCCGCACCAGCCAGGACGGAAGAACCCGCAGCCGTGCCTGAGCTGACGCTGCCCACCAGGACCGTCCCAGAACTCGCCTGCTGACCCCGCGAGGAGGCTGGGCTGAAGGACACGGAGGTCACCCTCCCGAACATACACCTGGTGTCCCCCGAGCAGGCCCAGCCCGGCCGAGGACTCACCCACCCATCCCAGCCCACAGACACCAGGTGGATTCTGTCACAGGAGCCACTCCCCCCCCAACAGTGGCCCCCAGAGACCAGGACCCTCGTGTCCTAAGCCGGCCAGCTCAGGGCCACCGCCAGCCTTGAAGCCGGCCAGCACAGGGCCACCACTGTCAGCAAGGCCGGGGCATGCAGGGCCGCTGCCTCCGACCTTCCGGGGGCCCCACAGCAGTGAGGCAGGGCATGCTGCCCCGCACGGGGCCCTGCCCCCCCCCAGCCTGCTCCGCTGTCCCCTGGGGAGGGCCAGAAGACCTGGCAGGACAGCAGGCGGGGGCAGGGACCCCGAGCCGGGCTCTGTCTCCAAGCCAGCGCACCGCATGGGGGAAGAGGGGACAGTGTGCCGCGCTGCGGGCCTCCCTCCCTGCCACCCCCAGCCCACACTGCTTGGAGCACCACACGCCCAAGGTGGCGGGCGCAGTGCCTCCACAGCTCCGGGAGGGGCCCGGGCACCACGAAGCCGACATGGCGGAGGCCTGGGGGCAGGGCGGGGCAGGCCAGGCCAGAAGACGGCAGACTCCCTGGTGCGGGCTTCAAGACACAAGGAGCACCGTGCTGGGGACACGGGGTGACACAGGCCTGTCAGCCCACTTGCCCGATCATTGGATCCCAATAAAGCTGCCTCGTGGAACATCTGCTGGCTGCTGGGGGCCAGGCTTACCTGGGTTCCGTCCTCCACGTCATCCAAGTGGTCGGGGCACTGAATGGGACCTGTTGGGAAGTGTGCCCTGCTCTCCATCCCTCAACCCCAACCAGCCTCCTGCCAGCTGCCCCTGCCCTCCACCTCTTGAGGCCTGAAACTAGACCGAGACCCCAGCGAACTCCTCTGCCAGGGCCGGGGCTCTCAGTGTTGGCGGGGAAGCAGGCACCCATGTCAGGGAGAGCCACAGTGGGCTCAGAGGACGCAGCGCCCGGCAGCCCCTGCAGCGGGGGGTGGCCAGCCCTGGTCACACAGCGCCACCCACAGGTCTGAGACCCACCCAGGCTGGCCCTCGAGACCAGGGTCAGGTGCTGGTGTGCGGGCGCCACTCTGCAGGGCCAGGGCAGACTAAGGAAGTCACCCTTCCCTGACCTGGGGAGCAGCCCCAGTGAGGGGGCCATGGCCCTGCACGCCCTCCCCGCCCTGGAGAGTCCAGGCCGTTGGCCTCCTCGGTCAGGGTGACTTTATTTCTAGAAAAGGTGAGGAGCTGCTTGGCCAGAGAGGTGGTGGACAGGACCCGGTCGTGGGGTCCACAGGAGCACGGAGACTCAGGCACGGGCATGGGTCGGTGAGGGTGACGGTGCGCGCGTGCCCAACAGGCCAGGCAGCCGGGCCCGGGTGCTCTGTCCTGGAGACCTGGCCACAGCGGGGATGGAGGGCCGGAGCCAGGCTCCTGGCGCTGGAGTCCAGCGGGCTCAGAAGCCCTTGTCGATGCTCAGGGTGCGGCGGGTGACGTGCTCCAGCTCGCCGGACACGTAGTCTGCCATGCTGATGCGGTAGTGCGCCAACATCTTCAGCATCAGCCGCAGGTTCAGCCACCACTGCTCCCGGGGCATGCGGTGGCTGCGCGGGGAGAGCAGGTCGGAAGTCGGGGTGGCTACGCCAGCCGGGCCCCCCCCTCCCTGGCCTCTCCACACCCCGCAGCAGCAGTGGGGCTGGGAGGCGCTGGGCCTCGTCCCATTGGGGTCCACCGACTGTCCCCACCACCACCACACTGCCTGTGTGGGCGATCTCCGTGGGGCCGGCACACCCACCCTGAGGAGCCTCTGGGCCCCGCGACCCGGCATTGGGGACTCACTCAAAGTCTGTGTCCTTCTTGAGCTCAGTGACAGGGCTGAAGGCCACCGCCTTCTTCCGAAGGCCGATCACGCAGGCCGAGTCCGGTGCGTTGGCGAACACGCGCCCTGTGGATGCAGGCAGGAGGTGGCTGGGGCCAGGCCCTCCCCCGCTCCTCAGAAGCCAGGCCGCGCCTCCAGGCCACCCCACCTACCCTTGCGGTAGACGGCCCGCAGCTTCTCCGACATCCAGAGCATGGCCTTCACCCCTAGCTTGGTCCCGTAGTTCCGGTCAAAGGGTGTTGGAGCTCCACCCTGCAAACAGAGGGGAAGCCGGCCTGGTGCTGCTGGGCTCCAGGAAAGGAGTCAGCGGGCTGCAGACGGGCCACAGACAGGGCACAGATGGACCACAGACTGGCCACAGACAGGGCACAGACGGCACAGACAGGCTGCAGACAATCTGCAGATGGGCCGCAGACAGGGCACAGACCACAGACGGGACACAGACTGGCCGCAGACAGGGCACAGACGGGCCGCAGATGGGCCTCAGACGGGCCGCAGACAGGCTCCCAAGCAAGGCTGTGGCCACACCCGCCTCCCGTGCCCTTGGGAGCTGACCTCCACGTGGTCTGAGCCTGCTCCTGCGGCCTGAAGGCCTCAAATCCAGCCTAGAAGCCATGCCCAGAGGCCAGCAGTGGCTGCCCAGCTACGGTGAGGAAGCCCTGGGCCCCAGCACTCGGGGCCGTGGCCCCACCATAGGCCACCCGAGGGCCACCACGAGGCAGGGGCACACACGTCTAGAAGGCAGGAAGCTAGGCAGGGCAAAGGTGCCACAGGTCACAGGAAACTGGGCAAACTCGGACCAGGGCCAGTGCTCAGGAGCCACCAGCCTTGTCCCCTCCCTACAATGTGGCGGGCACGCGCCGTGACTGGGCCTCCCCCCAGGCCCGGCTGCAGTACCTGCTGGAGATGGCCCAGCACGTTGGTCCGGCAGTCAAACACGCCCCTGCCTTCGGAGGAATACAGGTGGTACAGGAACTCCGTGGTGTAGTGCTCGTGGCATTTCTCGTTTCTGTGGAGGCATGGGCAGCATCAGCGCCTGCCCCAAGCCTGGTCCCGGGGGGCCACAGGCAGGTGGAGAAGAGATGGAGGGAGGGAAGGAGGGAGGGAAGGAGGGAGGGCCCTCCCGGGACAGCCAAGGTCGGGACAAGGCTCACCGCAGCACCAGGCCCCTCTGGATGTCCGTCTTCATCTTCTCCGTCATGTGCTCCACGTTGGCCTGCGGGAAGCGTGGGCTGAGCAAGAGTGGCCCGAGGAAGGCAGCGGCCCGCGTGACCCGCACCCAGGGGCCCGTCACACAAAGGACGCTGCTTGCTTTGAAAAGCTTGAGTGGAGCCAGGGCCACCCCCAGTGCAGCGGGCCCTCAGCCGGCCCCGGCCCTGCCAGCCCTGCGTGCCAGCCCCGCAGACCCCCATGGCTGCGGCCAAGGGCCGGCCTCACCTTCAAGTCGTGGATGTTGAAAGGGTCCTCAAAGACATAGGCGGCGTCGGCCCCCACGGCGATGCCGGTCACCGTGGCCAGGTACCCGCAGTAGCCGCCCATGGTCTCCACGATGAACACGCGGCGCTTGGTCCCAGAGGCCGACTGCTTGATGCGATCACAGCTCTGAAAAGACCAAGCAACGTCCGGGCTCAGCATGCCTGTCTGCCATGAGCCAGAGGCTCCTGCGGCACCCTGGGGCCCGAGACTGGAGAGGGGAGGCAGTGGCTCTGCTGCCACCAGGCCCAGAGGCCATGGTGCCTTGTCACAGCCTGGCAGCCCCGCCCCCATCTGCGCAGGCCTGGAGGCGCACTCTGCAGTGACTGCCACGGGGCCAATGGACAACGGCCAGGACGGTGGGGCAGTGTGACTGGCAAGGGCAGCAGGGCCAGTGCTGAGGGTCTCCCGGGGCCTCGGTCTCCCTGTCTGTGAATGGGCTGATGGCCGGCCAGCCACTGCGGAAACAGGTAACGTGTCACAGGGGCTGGTGAGGGGAGGCGTGGCAGGAATGCTCAGCACCAACAGAGTCGTTTCAAGCTCATAGAGCGCGAGCCTTGAGCTAAAAAGCTAAGGCTCCACAAAGATTAAGAGGGGTGGGGGAGAGCTAGGCATGCTGGGCATGGTGACGTGCGGCTGTAATTTCAGCACTTTGGGAGTCCAAGTTCCAAGCCAGCCTAGTAATAAAGCAAAATTAGACAAACAGACAGACAGACAGATGCTGGAAGGTAATCCAGAGAGGTAAACAGAAGGGACACAAAGCTTTCCTGAGCTCCTGGGATTCGAGGAAATCCTATGTCACACAGAGCAAAGGGCAGAAACCTCTGCAGCCCCTGGTAGGACATGGGCCCACCACGGTGGGAGAAACGGCGGCCGGCAGGTCAAAGACGGCCACCACGGTGGGAGAAACGCTGTCCCAGGGGGACGATGGCGGCCAGCAGGGCAAAGACGGCCACCGCCGAAACGCCCACCGCCAGGAGCTGCAGAGACCACGGAAGCCAGAGCCACCGATCCTCAGACCAGAGACCAAAGCGGGATCCACTCCCACACCACGGGGGAGCCGCGCCCTGCCTGGCAGCCCGCACCTCCATGGCGGCGTTGACGGCCGTGTCCGAGCCCAGGCTGAAGTCGGTGCCGGGCACGTTGTTGCTGATGGTGGCTGGGATGACGCACATGACGATGCAGAGTTCCTCGTAGCGCTCTCTAGCTTCTACCAGCTGCAGCACACCCTCGTAGGCCTGGGGCAGAGGTGGGCGGGGGGGGGGAGGGGGGCCAGACCAAGGCCGCACTGGGTCAGGGCAGCGGCACGGCTCCCTGGCCCTGCCCCCTGCTGACCAGCCTCACCCTTTGCGTGTGGACTAGGACAGCCGGCTCCCACCCCCAGGACACCATCAAGGGGCCCTGCAGCACCCCACTCAGCTGGGTTCTCAAGAGACTGAAGAGTCACGTGAGCTGCTAAGCACAGAACACCCCCACCCCTCTACTTATCGTCTGTGACAACCTGCCAGGCACCTGGGCAAGGCGTACAAGATCCTCCCAGAGCCACACACTGCCTGCTCACCCTTCCTCCAACTCCTCCCCTCCTCCTCCCTCCTGGTCTCCTCCTCCCCGCCAGCACCAGGCTTAGCTGCACCCCATGAGGCCCTCAAAAGGCCAGGCCCCAGACCCGCATCTACAGCACCCATGATCCGACTGCGTCAGTCCAGACCCGCATCTACAGCACCCACGATCCCACCGCGCCGGTCCAGACCCGCATCTACAGCACCCACGATCCCAC